TTTGCAGTTGCCCTGATTGCTAGGACTGTTAGATACTACATGTGCTTGCTAATATTAATTGTGCTTACCTTTATGTGTATGTGTTTGAGTTAGGGATCATTTTTATTTAACTAAATTTTAATCCTTATAACAAATACCGTATTTCGTCAAATAAAAGCCCGGGCATCTATTTCTTAAAATGACATTTGGACCTTGAAAAAATAAAACAAAAACAGTGGGATTTGAACCCGGGACCTCACGCAAGTGACTTCAGGAAGCTTAAGGAAATATCTACAGGGTATCTATGATACTTAAAGGCTAGATTTACATATTTATAGTTCCATGTTATTGCTAACCCGGCGTTTATTTGCACCCGGCTTTTATTTGAGGATATAGGTAAACACTTAGGCTGAATAGGCTTTTATTCAAGTACTTTAATCTACATGTAGATGATGTTTCAGAGTATCTTTTGTCCATTAGATGTGACTCATCTTGTTGATGTACTTGATTTACTAATAAAACATGGATATTCTGATGTCAATTATTATGATCTTGGTCTTTATCTGGGTCTGTATGCTCCTACACTTACTGATATTAAGCATTATAACAAAGGATATGCTCGTAGCTGTCTAAGACATTGTTTGAAGGCATGGTTGGAACGAAGAGATAATGTCATGAGTTCAACTTATGATACATTGATACAAGCATTGAGGAAGATGGGAGAGAATGATGTAGCTGATGGGATTGAAAGAGAAAGTAAGGACTAATATTTATTATTTATTGAATTTGTAGCAACAAACCCATCATTCCCATTGAATATAATGGTACTATTGTACTGACAGCCAAAAATTCTAATTTCACAAGCTTTGCAAAAAAATTGTGGATGAAATTCATATCCAAATGCAGGGAAATAATGAAAACTTTTTTGTGACAGTTTTTGCCATAATTATTTTTATTTATTAGTATTATACCAGAGGAGGTAGGACACAGTTGACCTTTGAATAATATTTCCAAAGTTAAATTGCATTCTATTGGTATCATATGATGCAAAATGGCAGCTTTCTGATGATTGTATCACAAAACAGGCTTATACTGCAGAAACTATAGTGACCTATGACAGTATGACAATCCTTGATGGTTGTTAAAATCACCATTGTATGGAGAATACCGTATGGTGGAAAACTATCGTGGCCCAAAATTTTTGTGGATTTCACATTTTTTCAAAATTCACAAAAATAAAATCTGCAAAAATTGATTCAAATACGGTTTAAGATGGCCGAAAAATAGAAAACCATGAAAATAAAGCCACAAAATTGATTTTTGAACAAATCCACGAAATTTTGAGCCACAAAAATTTTTTGCTATACAGTATTTCTTTTTGATTATTCTTTGCAGTGCTGTTTGTGTGGGTGTGGGTTATTATACTTGATGACAAATTAATATTTTTAATTCAGATTGTATTTGTATGTAATATCAAGAAGTGGATAAGGAGGAGGGGGAGAGTGTCTAACTGCCCTATGCTGCTAGTGATATGTGCGCGTAGA